TCACCGGAGACGAAGCTCCACACCAATGTACCACGGCTGAATGCTCGGGTCCTTCTCACATGCTCGGGCGCCATTGTCCTTACAAGGAAGCTCGAGGAGAACTTGCAACTTGAGAAGTGAGTCCCACTACTCTAGAAGCAAGTAATTATACTAGCACTACCACTAGGCCGGAGATGGTGTCTCCCGGTCCAAGATCTACACTCGGCCGGAGGCCTAGCTACCGACCGGGAGTCAACTACTGTCAACCCTAGCATGTGGTCTTACTCGTGTGTCCTAGCCTCGTCACTGGCTATCATTCTACGGTGGGGGATTGCCCTCGTGCGGACTCGACAGGCCACCGGAGCCTCGGAAACCTCGAAGCCTCCGCGTGGATGACACCTGTCAGCCACCCGCCTTACACTGCCAGACCGCTGCCGCGTGCGCACAACGTGTTACGGCACCGGCTCCTCACGGCATGGCAAGAGCCTTCGACGGCTTCCGTCTGGACCCAGTGGGAGCGCGTCGAGGGGCCTGCGCAAATGCAAGTAAGGGCAAGGAAGCAGCTGGGACAAAGTCGTTTGCAGAGATCACCCATAGGGCATGGTCCAAGCATCTGGGGGGAGACTGCACCACCTGCCTTGCAAAGCTTGTTGAGGTGTGCGCAGAAGCTACGTCACTGTGTGCCCCGAGAATGCTTGACAAGATCTGCCTGTTCTCATACACATGTGGGAAACGCCTTCTCGCTTAGAGCGAGCTCAATACTCAGGACACGCATTGGCATAGTAAGCGTCTTTGGGTACAAGAAGCAGTTGGGATGCATACTAAAGCATCACAAGCAACAAGAAAGAAGGCCCCCCGCATCCGCCTCGCAAAATCTCTCGGGCACCACTGTCTGAAGTTGGATAATCCGAGAGAACATGCTAAAGTAAAGTGTCAGCAGTCCGAAAACCCTAGACCCTAAAACCGTTACGCCTAAAAGTTGGTCAAGGTTCTCACCAACACGCATCCCTCTTCGTCGTGGTCACCGGTCTTATCTCCTGCGGCCCCGCCCCCTTCTAGGCTGTCGTCGTCGTCCAACACGTGCCACCGGTCCTTGGTCAAGTTGACGAACTTCCTGATGCCGTTGTCGTACAGAATCTGCAAGTTTGTTGGAAAGTTGGGAAATTGTTGTCTCAATGGAAATCGATGTCAGCGCGCAACGTCTTGGTTTCCAAAGCGGTAGGAACCATAGACGAGCTCTTGGTAGGCGTGGATCTTCGTGAAGAATACTCCCTAAGGAATGATCTCCAATTGCACATCCGACCAGAATGCAGTCATATACGCGTTCCTAAGGTGCAAAAGTTACATTCGCTTCGTCTATCAATCCAAAGACCACCAACTTAGGAGTCCATATCAGGAATGGAAACCAGAATATGAAACCGCCGACTCCAAGGTTGCTCAAGACATCTGCGACAATCATTTCAAACTATTACGTGGCCTTCTGGATAAGTTTGTACCTGATGTTGGCCGTTCCACCGAGTGTAACGCACCACCCGCCCCGCCTCGTACCTGCGAGCAAAGTTGGACTTATGTCAAGTATCTCAAAATCCCTCATAAGCACCCCAATCAGTATAACGGAATCTTGGATAGAGCAGATTCCCCCCCGAATGTCATTGTCGTAGATACATATTGCAAACGGAAAAGATGGTCAAATTATGCGCGTTTGTGCACAGGACTCAGATTGCGCCTCTCCAATGATACTGCAGCATGTAGCGTAAAGCTTTGCTTTACAGAATGCCTCCAGAAAGCCTTAAACCAGCGTTTGCTGATTGACACAAGCCCAATCACTTGGTGACATGTTTGCTCAAGGAGACAATTGTTACTCACTTTTCAGCATCGGCACCCAGATCCGCACCCGCTGGCTGACGAGCTCGGCTGCCGGCGCCGCGGGGGTCTCCGGTTGATGCATCAGAGGTGGCAGAGGTTGGGGCAGACTAGGGGCAGACTGGGAGCAGACTGGTGGTGGCAGACCGGGGGCAGACGGAGCGGGTGCAGAGGCCAAAGCGGTTGAAAGAGTTGACAAAGGTACGTTCTGCATACGATGTAACACGAGAGGATTGGAGTATATGCGCTTCAGATTCATTAGAAGGAGAGTAAAATTTGTATGGGCAGGCCAGAAACCAGGCCACTAGAACACACAAACGAGTCGAAGAGGCTCTTTTCTTCGTACCACGTGAAAGCGAAGTCAAGAACGACAGCACGCTTGGAGCAGAACACATTTTAATAGTCTTCGTGTTGATACTATGTACGAGCGTTTGCAGACACAAGCGTGTACGAGTACGTTCACAAGGGTTTTGACTAGAGCGAGATGTTACTAGAAGGCCCCACGAGAGCATTTCGATCGGCCTCACATGAAAGCGCCCAACGGAGGCACAAAAGGGAAGCGCAGTCTGCCCTTGCTCACCTCCATGTCGTCGTCCCAAAGGACGGGAGAAGAATGAGGCGCCGTCCTCTCGCAGGGCGTCTCGCCACCTGCGCTGCCAACTCGTCCTGGACAAGAAGCGAATCTAAGTCTACTACTCAACGCTTCAACGCATTCAAGTGAACACAGCAGTCGTGTAGACAAGACAAGACAAGACAAGACAAGGCCTTGATTGAGCTAGCAATCCAAAGCCAAGCAAGCCAATCATTTTGGACATTTCATGGTCGAGAGGGAAAGCGGCGACCGGAACAAGTCGGAAGAGGCGGAAGCTTCTTTCGAAGTGGATGTTATTATGAGATCGAGGTCCAGGATCCGCTCGGAGCAGATCGTCCGACTCGTTCTGAAAGCCTCTTAAAGCATAGTCAGGCAAGCAAGCAACAACAACAGGATCACTCCTAGTGCGCTTGATGAAAAAACTTTCTCAAGAATGCCAGCTTGCATGTGAGAACGACACACTCGCTCTCCTTACCTTTCTTCTGTTCCTTTAACCTCTGCCGCTTGGCCCGCTTCCTCTCCTGCGCCGCCGCCGCCAGCTCCTCCGGCCCGGGCCGCTCTGCCTTCCGCTTTGCATTCAGCTCCACCCGCTTCCCCGGCAGTAGGTCCTCCTCCGAGAACCCCAGGTACGACATACAACACTCGTACATTTGCCTCCCGGGGCCTCGGGAGCCGTCTGACTCGGCAAGGGCGTACAACCCGTCACCAATGTCCCGCTTCCGCTTGTCGTTTTTGCCTCCGTGAATGTCATAGGGCCGGTCGACCCTCTTTCCGTCCGCGCCATACTCAGGCTGCCTAACCCTCTGCTGCTTTGGCCCCGGAACACTTTGCGAATCGTACAGTTGCAAGTCGCCGTTTTCCCCACAGCTCACGAACCCGTGTGCCATTGCCCCAAGGCGCCCCCTTGTCAATCCGGGCTTCTTGAGGGGCTCCCCTAGCTTTCTGATGCCCATCTCCGATTGAATCTCTCTCCACTCCTGGGGGTCGCTCGCAATAACGTCCACGTGGACGTGGGCCTTGAGGTGGACGTTCCCCGGGTCGTTTTCGGGCTGCAAAGACAACTCAAAAGTCAAGCCTGACCATTGATAAGGAAGACTCATCGAAACCCTTACCAAAGCTTAATCTCGCCTTGGTTGCCTGACGTGTTCAGCATGTTATAACGATGCTATTGGCTTATTGGAATCTGCTGAGAGCGTGTGGAAAGTACGCAAAGGGAAGGACGAAAATCCACCTGCAGTCAACAAACATCCTTGGCTGGAATTTGGCTGACCATACGAAGCATTAGCATCCACATCCACGGGAGAAACCGACACAGAAGCTAGATAGCCGGATGAAAATGCTAGAAGTCCGTTGAAAAAGGTAGACACATTCAAGGGGAAGAAAGAAACAGTCCATTGTATCCACGATCTTCTTTCTGGTCACTACCTAGCCCGAATGCCCATCGCTTTCACACTTACGCGCCCATTCAACACGTGGTCTGGTTGCTGGTACGCAACAACGTAGCTGGCGGACGCCGCCGCCTTCTTGCCGATGTTGGCCGTCATGACATTATAACTACAAGCACCAAGCACAAAACAACATGTCAAGGTTGCGTCCTTGTGCGATCATTAAGAGGAGACAATAGCTTCTTTGCTTTCTTACAAGGGCTGTAGAAATGTCGTGCGAAAGGCACAGTGTGGTTGAGTAAAAAGAAGTCTCGCTAGTCAAGAATTGAAACCCTGTCAAGAGTCCTGGCTAATGAGCTGCAATCTGGTTGAGGCCCGACCAGATTCCATGCCCCAAAATTAGACCCTAGTCCACAATAATCTGGCTGTTCTCAGATATGCTTAGTGCCCGCAAGTCTGCCGGTTCTCAGATATGGTTCGTGCCCAAAAGGCTAATCAGCGGACCGGTATGTCTAGGTCAATTCCACTAACCGGGCTGGATTACGTTCTGGTGAAGCCCTAGTTAGCGAGCATGCTTGATTCACAAAGTCTTGAATTGGCTAGGAATCGGATGACCCAACAAAGTCCCAGACCTCTGATTATTTAACACAGCGCCCCAAAGTCCACAGATGAAGGTGAAAGGTGCTCACTCTTTGTCCTGGAACCGGGAGTCGAGGAGAAACTGGTACACCACCGCGAGGAAGATGGGCAGAAGATGGAGATTCTCAGGGTGCTGCAGGTCCTGAAGCCTTGTTATTCCTAACAACCTGGCGAAAAACAAAGCAATGAGATCAATGCCAGGAACTTTTTGGAGCGGCTCGTAGGTGTGAGCAACTTGGGTTACATTCCAACACTCAAGATTCAACTTAGTCTTTATACTCAATGGTTAAAGCAACAGCCAAGCAAAGAAGGACCCAATGCATTTACTTGACCCGTGAAAATAGTTCAGCAGCGAGCAACAGAAAGCTCGCCTGAACACAAGCACAACCTTCAAGACTTTTCAAAAGCAGAAAAACCATGGACTGGGAAGTGCCCAGAGACTCGTGGCAAACAAACAAGTTTGGCTCAAAAATGAAATGCCAAACCCGAATAAGCAGTGCTGCTGACGTACTTGGCCATGCGTCGCATGAAGTCCCAATACCGGCCATTGCGGCGCTCCCGCACTTGGCACACGTCCCGCTGCGCGGCCCGGAGGATCCCGCACAGATGCCCCTTAATGCGAGCTCCGATCCCGTCAAAGCCGTACTCGGAGTCGAGCACCTGGACAAGTATGCACCACACCTGATTCACAGCACGTGCGAGCGGTCCACTGAACTCCGGCCCCGTCAGCGCCTTGCCCCCCCACCCCAGGAGGGTGTCCACCTTATATCCGGACCCCACTTCCACGGCGCGTTTATTGGATCGTAGCCCCGTCCGTACGCAGCAAAAACCATTTCTCGGACCCAAACCCCCGTCGCTTGCTTGAAGCGTCCGCTGCCGGACCAGGATTTGCGCCTAGTTGATCCTTGCCAGGCCGTCGATGAGAGCCAGCAGGTGCCCCTCCCCCGGGTCCTTCTCATTGTCGCACGCCATTAGTGCAGACACCCTGGTCCGCGCCGTTCCCGGCATGTATACGCCGCGGGGTACTTTTCCCAGTCCGAGATTTTCAGCCACCCGATCTGAGCCTGGTTCTTGAAAATGATCCGCATCGCGTCGACCGTCTGCTCCGTCTTCGCTGCGGGGTCAAAGTCGTCGCGCAGGAGGAGAATCTCTAGGACTGTGCCGATCTGTTGCACACTGTGGATGCGCCGCCCCTTGAGGGACTCCGGCAGGCGCTCCACGTCCATCGCATTGCGGATGAGCAGGCTCATCCTCTCGATGGCCTCCGTGTCGTTGGGGTCGGTTGGAAACGGGTCCCCTTTGACGTTCTCTTTGTCGGGGAAGAAGATGCCCTTCAGGACAGTGGGACCGTCGGGGGAGTCGAAGTCATGGATGTGTTTGAGGAGCTCCTCCAGGAAGCAGCGCACTGTGTCCTTCTCCGGCATTGTTGTATCTGGTCAAGGAGATTCAGAAGCTGCTTCAGAGAAACGATTTATAATAGTCACAACGTTCTCTGGACCCCCCACCTCTCCAATATAAAAGGTGTATGTTACCTGACATATCGACAACTGCCATGTTGCCATGTTCCCGCTGATGCAGCCGCCTCGGTCTGCTCAAAGTCTACTCAGTCTGAACTGCATCTATGTGGAGTACAGCGACCAAGAACCCAGGGCATGGGATATGAGGTGCTTACTGTCTTAGGAGTTGCCAGTGCCCCATCCTGAAAGTTACAAGCCATGAAAGTTACAAGCCAATGCCAAAACTTACAATGCCACTGCCAAAACTTACAATGCCAATGCCAAACCGTAGTGCGAGAACAACAATTATGCCCCATGCCAAGGGTTGACAAAGCCCCATGCCAAGAACGTTGAATGCTCTTAATTTATGGAGGGCACTCCCTCTCCCCCCTTTTCAGATAAGCCTTTGACGTACATGCAATGTATTGAAATTTCTTCCAGGCTGATGGGGTGAAAATAAAAATGCTGAAAGCTACAAACTCGGCTCAACAACCTTAAAACTTGCTTTCATGCAATACTCCAGGGCCCCCAAGTCAGAGGCCCACAGCACGCACGCAGAGTGCCCCATACCCTTCAAAGACATTCGAAAGCAATGCAAAAGCCATGATAATGCCTCACACAACATTCGCTGTTTTTATCATCATGCATGTCCAGACAAACGTCTCGCCACCTACAAGTGCATTCAGTGCGGGCAGTGAGTGCTCCACCCCACCTGTGTGCACCCAGGAATTAATCTATTCAAGCAGGATGTGGTTTATAATGTGTGGCCTTTACCTTGGTTGAGCGGCCAGGCACCCTCGGTATTGCTATACACTTCTGGCCACATCTCAAGCAGCAATGTGCTGCTGCTAGCTAGCTGATGTCATACAGCAGCGCCGCCAGCAGCTTCAGATCGACGTGGAATATTCGGAGCTTCTCCTTGCAAGCAAGGTTGAGCCAAGTGCTTCAGCCTGTGCTACTTGTTTTGGGCTGTCGCCTGAAGATAAGTTGTCTCTACGGCAATGTCTGCTCACAGCGAGTGAGCGCCACTCGAGTGAGCGCCCCTAAGGGACCTGTTGACATGAGCTGCTGAGGTCCCTTGGCTGGCCTCCTTCATATGCTGGATACTCAACTTTTGAAGATTGAAGGCGACCATCTATATGCGTCCTCCACCTGGCCTAGAGAAGTGGCCAAGAGAAGTGCTCAGTGAACATGTGTGCCTCTTCAAGTTCTGGAGCCCAAGAATCTGCGACGAAGCCTCGTGTAACTTTAAGCCAAGAGATTTGAAACATCCAAGAAAATTCTCTAGGACTCTAGCTTGACGAAATTCTTAGAGCGGGCGGGATAAGATGTGCCAAGGAAATCTGTTCCCCTGCCGGGTAAAGCGATGTTGACTTCTCAAAAGCCCGAGCGATGACGACGTACAAACGTTTAATTATAGGGCCTTGGTGAACTTGAGTTCGTACTTTTCTTGGTATCATAGGTATGAACGTACCGTGTTTAATTCGGAACCCAAGTGGGGGGGGGGAAGGACCCAGCGCAGTTTCTTGCATGAGCGTGAGGATCCCTGGGGGTACCACCTGGGTCCCCATGAGGCAGACCCCCTTTAGCCCCTCATAACCAAACATTGTCCACTTCTCTTGAACCTATTCGTACAAAGTCTGCCCCAAAAATCGTTAAAACAGGGCCGAATATGCTCAAAAGCGGCCCTTCGGGCCAAACCCGAGATATACCCGTATCGTACCGGTATATGCGGCTTTATTAATTAAGCCCCATCAAAGCCCTTGCGAGAGATTTGCGTTCACTTCAGGCTGTACGTACGACCCGGCCCAGCTTATGCCGCCGGGTGGGACGGGGGGGAGGCGGGGCTTGGGACCCCTCGGCGAAGCCAAGGCCCCCCCCTGGGGAAAAAACCCCCTTCAAAAATGGTCGATACAAATATGGGGGGGTAGCGGTTACAAAATGACGGTACCCTTGTAGGTAAGACATCACTCGGCGACATCACAAACCTGACCCCCCATGGGCCCCGTATGGGAACCAAGCGAGATCCATGTGCGAGACTCCCGTATGGAGTCCAGTATAACTGTCCACGTGGCGCCCACATGAATCTCGTATGGAGCCCATATGTGTGGGCCCCGCATGGAATCCAAGCCTTGGACTCCATACGGGACCCTTATGAGTGGGGCCAATACGGAATCCATGTGGAAAGCCGCGTTGGATCCCATGCGGAAGCGAGAGCGGTTGCCACGTGGAATCCATCATGGGGGCCGCATGGGGTCCGTTTGGAATCCATGCGGAGGCAGCATATAACGCTAAGTCCGTGAACGCTGGCGTAATAAAGGCGCAATGCTTGCATAGCAATCCGTGTGCCAATATGCAGTCAGTCATGGCATCTCGTGCACATTTTGCACATTGAGTAACCAGACAAGATCCATCGTCGTTGCTGCTGCCGACTCTTTCTGAAACATACGTGAGCACCACGGTGCCGTTCGGTAACTTGAAACGGGTCTTGGTTGTACTACAACACGAATCTGTTCAACAGCGTTGACCAGTCTGTGCAACTCTTGGCAGCCAAACCCCATCCGGCTGTTGGGACTTGTGATTGATGGCAGGTCGCGGCAACGTTGCGATGCGTATTGGGGACTTCAAGACGTTCAGACACAACACGGACCTGCAACAGAAAAAGAAGGTTGTTATTTGCAAGCATCAGTAAAGCGACAGCCCCGAGCAAGTCGGGTACAGTGGTTGGGTTGTACTTGATTGAAGCAAATGCAGCTTTAGTCGGCCTCCAAGCACAACTTACAGGCTTAGAAAAGTCCGCTTCTGACCAGCGGCATTGAGTCGCATCGCAGATCAGTGACGAGGGTGATCAGTCGAAGAACAACCGATCAACGTTGCGTGGGCTTTCTCGAACTCTGCAGCCTTCTCAACCGATTTGCCTCCCACCGTCAGACGACCGGGAAGCTGCCATGCTTGAAAAGTTGATTAAGAACGGCGGATCCTCTCAGAAGAATCTCTAAAAGAACCTACAAACCGGGGCACGGCACGGTTCGAGCTGAGACTCGAAAAACACGGAGCCTCGTCGGTCTATTAAATTCAAGAAGAGTTGTCGTTGCGGCAGTTCCGTACCTTGGCTTTGCAACGGCGCAGCTCAGCGTGGCAGTCTTACAGACGCCTTTCTCCATCGATCGTCCCAGCTTGTTGGCATCGACCAGACCACGTGGCACGCCAGAACTCTGGGTATTGGCAAGCGGAAGCGGCGGGAGTTGCGGCCGCGTGTGAGAGTTGGAAAGGAGCAGCTTGTTGCGGACAGGTCGACCCCGCGAACGGCTCTGTCAGACCTGGGGCCGGATGAATAGGAGGTCGGTACAAGGCGCTTGGACTTCGGGGCCAACACAAGCCAGAATTTTATTTAAAGCCTGAGGGTTTCTCGGGGATGAAAGACTCACAGACATAAGGATTCAGTCTGACATTTGTGACTAGCAAAGTTGGCGCCAAATTCGCGAAAATGACCGAAATGGTTGCCAAACAAGCAATCTTGGGAATGAGGGCCCTTCGTGCGTCCAGGCGGCTTGAAAGCCATTCTCCTTGGAAAAGCCGAAACATTGTCCAGATTGTTTGACGGACTTAGTCCTCGAAAGACACAACCCTTCAGCAGACAGGAAGGGCGACCCAAACAATTAGTCGGATCCGACGAGCGTGTGAGACAGCAATGTTCACTCTTTCTGAAGGAACGCAATGAACTCGACGAAAATAGTTAGACAGGACTACCTTACATGCGTCTGTGTCACGGCCGTTCAGGCCGTGTTGACGAGCGGCGCGACCTGACCCTGACGCCAAAGCTCCCATAATAGGTGCCAAGAAGACGAGAGCGGTCCCCAGCAAACTGCAGGAAAAAATATCTTTAGAGCTCTCAACTTTACACGGTCAGGAGGGCTTTGTCGATGCACTTCCCAGTGTTCCTTTACGTTATATGTGCCTCATGGAAACGTGACGTCAGCAACTGGGAATGTTCAGCGACTTGAATGCGGAACCCCCATGAGTAGAAGATTCAATAGCGGATCAACAAAGAGAAAAAGAGATTACATGCCCGCTTCTCTGAAGAAACATTCTTGAATGCACCAGACGATTGATTCGGGTTGTCAAAGACCCAGAGATATGACTAGCCACGTACAAGACAGCATCTCGAGGTGACTCGTGAATGGGCCAGAGCCATACAGAAGCACACACTCAAAACAACACCACGACTTAAAGTGGCCGCTTGCCTGCATCCACTCCGTTGCAGCACACAGCCGGGCGCGGTTTTACTCTCCACCACGGCACCCTTCTTGTGACGTCATCACTAGCGAGCGCCACCGAATTGCTGAGTTTCCGTTGTTCGGCATAGTAAGCGACTTCGGTGATGCCAACACCTGACGGCGGGAAGGAATTGAACGACGTCAGCGAAATGCACGGTCCACACGACACGCGAGCCTATCATTTAGTGTAAGGCAAAGTTCAAAACTGCGGGCGCGAATCTGTGACCGTTCCCACGGGCCTGCAATCGATTTACCGTGACACAGCCGGTGACGGTAACGGCAGACGTGAAGCTTAAGCGCAATCAGTTTCGTGTGGCGATAAGGAAGAAAGAAGCTCAAGACTGAGCTTGTCAAAACGGTTTTGTTCCGAAGTATCGGTCGAGAAAGGAACTGATGAGCTGGCCTCCATGAACGATTGCTGATGTCATACTCTCTAGAATGTCATCGATGGTGACGTCAGCAGACTGTAAACGTCAAGCGACTCAGCCGATTTGAATCTGGATTGAGGAAGGATCATACGAAAGTGCAGCCCAAGAGCAGAACGGAACAAAGCAAGTTCAGAAGTCCGATTTATCAAAGCCCTACGGAACAGGCTATGATGCCAGAATGAGAAGCCCTTTTAGATACCCAACAACCTTTTCTTAGTAGAACGCTTCGATTGAAACCGACCGCTGCCAATCAGCAAATAGGACGGAGCCAATGATATTCGCGGAGAGCCCTTGAAGCTCATTGCAGACCAAAGCAGCTGCCTTACATGCGTCCGTTCTGTGGCAGCTTATAGGCCCCCGGCCAAGGCCTTCGCTTCAAGGGGCACCCTTCCAAGCATCAGCAGCGAACGTCGCGCAGTGCCGCGTGTCCGACGTTCTGTCCTGGCTGCGACTTCGATAATGTCCGAGCTGAAGCAAAGAAACATGATGACGTCAGCGAAGGTCCTTTGGAGTTGGACCGTCTCGGCATCGAAGCCTTAGCAATCCTGCGCAACGGTCGAAGGTCCACAAGTAGTAGACCTGCTTTCACAAGGACAACATGAGAAAGCTTCAGCGCACACCAATCAAAGCTTCGGCTTTGCACGGCTTTGCTCGACTGTCTTCTACCGTTGACGTGAATCCGTTAGTCGGATGATTTAGCCTTTTAACTTCCGCCGCACCAACAGCGTCGACATCTTAGATATTTCAAAAGACCAAAGGAACTCGTACATGCAAATCTTTCAAGGCTCCGCATCAGGCAGAAAGCCCTGCGACTAACCTGACAAGTCCGGGTCGCCCTACGAGTAGTGGAAGAGGAACCGGTTCACATAGTATGCGCCCTTCGTGTTGAACTTGGGGACGATGTGCACCGCCCGGCGGATGTTGGCGGTGTCGACCAGCTTGAGCACGCACTCGGGCCTGTCCCACCGCAGCTGCTTGCACTTGGGGACGTCACGGCTGCCCAACTCCCTGTGGTAGCGCACCACCGCCACCTCGCGGCGGGTCCGGGCCCTTGTCACCGGGTCAACGACCCAGACACTGAGGAACATCCGCACGTGGGCGTACAGGTCCACCGGCGGCTGGCCGGGGTCCTCGCCTTGCACCGCCACGTTGCTGAACCACGGACGCTTGTGGAAGTCCGTGGTTGCGCGCGCGTACATCGGCCGGCTGCCGAAGCGCTCGCTGTCGCCGACGGGCAGGCCGAGCGCGGTGTGTACGGTCACCTGGATGGAGAGATTGAAGTCGAGTTTGATACCTTAAAAAGTATGGACACAAAACTTGGGTGCTTTGACTAGTCAACTACGGGAGCTGAACTCGGGTTGGTTGAGCGACTGGGCAGAGCGGCTTTTCAAACAATTCAAAGACCTTCGCGGACAAAATGGAAGGGACGCAAACGTTTTTGCATTAGCACATTTTCCACGCCTCTAGTTACCAAACCCCTCCTCAAAGTATGATAGAGCTTTCGTCGCTGGACGAGTGCCACCGAAAATCATTATGTCAACTTTCGTATTCTACTTTTATGGACCCAGCAAGAGCTATCGGACGCCAAAGAGGAGATGAGAACGACAGCTCCGGAACAGACGGGCAATGTCCCTAACATACACGCAGACTGGCGCAAATCCCAACAGATTCCTCAGTGCTACCCGTTCAAAGGTGGCATACCCGACGTTATCCCACCATGAATTGGGGCGATTGCGAAAGCGAGACGGCACCTCCTCTCTAAAATTGGAGGGCTAGCTAGAATCACTTTCCAGAGGCAAGGGCACCCCCTAGTTGGGAAGCTTTGTAAACGAATCGATTCTGAACTCTTACCACGTTTAACCTTCGCGGTTCAAGACACTGAACACCAAGATTATATCCAAGAGCAAAAGTACAGTGAGGGAATTTGTGGCTCGTCTGCTTCTAAGGAGAAGGCTTCACGGGCCCAGCGCTGAAGTTTGCCAAGAAGGAACACCTAATTCGAAATCAATGGTCCTCACCTTCTCTGAATGTATGGAGAAGGCATTCGAGATGGCCTCCTTTTCCGCCAATTCTTCAGCCTCGTCCATTTCCTTCAGCCACTGCTGCATGAGGGCAGGGGTCCAATATTTGGTAATGCTTGCTGACATCATGCAGGTCCTCCGCTGGGCACATGCACATACTGCATGAGGATGACGTCTGCTTGCTGTCCTTGGTGAAAGTCAATTGCGAAAAGGTCGAAAGGGATGGCCCTGAAGAACCATTCCAATATATCTTGGCATTGCTCCACCAGAAATGTGAAAATGGGTCAATTCTAGGCCCATCAAGGACTTGGGCCCACTGAAAACGGCTTAGAGAAACACATGCAGGACAGTTTGTAAGTTGAAGGACCAATCCGGAAAGGGCGACTCCAATCAAACAAGACTTTATTCCATTAAGAATGGACCTAGCATATCCAAAAGCGATTGTGACAGTCTGATGATCGAATGGTTATCCACAGAACTGCCTACTAAAGTCCGAAGGGTTTTGAGCGCTCACCCTCTCCCTCAATTTCTCAGATCACCGACCAAAAATCAAGGGAAAGTGTGGCAAAGCTCACCGCGCACCCTTCCGGGTTGTCGCATACGTTTCAATAGAGCAGAGGGAAGAAAATATTCTCAACTCCAAGGGGGTCTGTGGCCAACAGACCACTGCAACAAGACACAACTCGTCAGATGAACCTTAAGCATATATGCACTAAGAACAAACGTTCGGTGCTTCTGCATTTCGTTCTTGCAGACTGGCGAGCTCGAATGGCATGCAAGCCAGCACCAGCTTCCACCAACCAAAGCTCCGCTTGAAGCAGCTCGGCACTCCCAATAAGCAAACCCTCTATTGTAAAAGAACCAGGATATTGCAAGCGACCAGTGTTTTCAACTCTTCCCAGTAAAATATGACACTGTTAGTACATTGGAGACTCACTCAACTGGCGTCCTTGAGGGGCTGCAACACTCTCCAGGCAGTCATGGAAGAATTGGAGCTTGCGAGGAAAGTAAGTTTGCCGACCATGCCTGAAAGCTGCATTGCAGAAGTCATTGTGCTGGATTAAGTGAGGGGAGCTGGAACATCTCCTATGAACCATAAGTGAATTGCATGCACATTGATGGAGCTCTACCAGGCTTTGCGACAATTAAGAGACTCTGTTGGAAAGCAATGGGTTTGGGTTCAGGATAGGCAAGTTGGGCCCTATGATCAGATTGAAATCAACCTTCTCGAGTTGCAAACACCAGAATACACCGCCAGACTCAGATCAGACCACTCAGCTAGAGGTCAGAAAGCATACCTGGACAATCTGCAACCGGATGCAGGAGTGGCAACACTGCCAACGGGACATGGCCCCCTCTCTCGTTGCGCCGATTAAAAGCAATGCTGGTCAATGTCATGACCAGAGGCCATCCGCTTGTCCGCCAATTGTTTGACAGCAAAGTCTGGTCGCTGTATAGGATCAGGACACGAAAAGGTATTCCGAGGCAGCTTCTGTGCGGGCTTCTGTGAGACTGATCCTGAAAAGCCTCTGACCACGCAGTTACAGTGCACTTACACCTCTTCCATTCGGACAGCCTGCCGCCAAAAATGCAAAGTAGTTGTGCAAAGTATTGTAGGTACCTAAGGTTGTAAAGCCTAAGGTTGGGAAGCTTTCCACTTCTCCGTCCTCCTCTTGCTGGAAAAAGACCTGTGCTTGAAATGGCATCTCTTCTGCACTGCTGCCAAGTGCTGTTGATCATTCTGCATGACAATCCACAGAGCCTTCAGAGTAGGTACCGTATATTGTTTAATGGCAGCACCGTTCAAGTAAACGGTAGCAGACGATCCGCGCGACGATTCAGACATTAGCAGGTAAAACGCGCAAAAAGGCTTTTAATACGGCATCTTATAGGTAGGTAGACGGCTTTCATGCGAATAAGGGGTTGGATTTGTTAAAAAGTGGATTTCACTGTCAAATCCCGTCCCTGGAATACGGTATTCCTGACCATGTTGGAAGAAGCTGGAAGTGGAAGAAGCCCTCGATCACTTCAAGAGCAGGTTGACCAGGGGCAGCCTGAGGGGAGTAGCATGTGAAAGCATTGCCTTGCAGTGAGCTCAAAGCAACTATCTTCCAGGTTTCCACAAGTTGAAGAATGGATCCACTCAGCACCAAAAAGGAGGGTCTGCGCCCGGGTCTGCGCTCTGTTCGAAAGCCGTTTGTTAAAGCTGCAGCAAGGCAACCATTTGCGACAAGCATGCTCAAGGGGAATGGCATGAGTAGGCGAGCAGGTCTACGTCTCAAAGTCGGCATCCTCATTGAATGCCGAGAAAGACGAGGAATGAGGCAAGGGCTCCTCTGAAGCGATTGAAGCGCGTGGCAGATGATGTCGACACAGATCCAGCTGGGGGTTCACTTGCAGAGAAGGAGAATGCAGGTTCTAGTTGTGAGGATCCGCCCTCAGAAAAGGACGCTAGCGCGCCAGACATGGATCCAAAAACTGCTCCAGGATTGTCGACCTATGAGCAGCGCATGATGAAGCAGCTCAAGCATCTGCATGCTCCAATGAATAAAGGGCACCGTACACTGCTTTCTCCAGTGAGAGTGACAGCACCAAGGACTGGATCAGGCGATCAGCAAGCCGCTGCAGAGCACGATGGTGGGAGAGCGCCAAGCACTGGCAGAGCAAATGGCTGCACTGCACAGACTGGTGAGTATCAAACCCCTGCTAAGTCCACCTGCAAGTCTGCTTTTAAAAGGTCAAGAGAAGTCGCTATAGCTGAAAGTAACTTCATCTTCTTTGCATCCGTTTAGTCACGATTTTAATCAGCTTTGTGCATTCGACTCCTGTATTCACACAAGCATTTTCGGAATTTATATATTCATTGATTGAGTGATGCAACGGAGGCATTGACATTGGAAGGTGAAATGGATTAGTATCATCTAGCTTCTATTCTTCAGTGGTAGTTGCCTGCTTAGGCTGTATGCAAAAGGACCTTGTGTTTGCCATAGATGGTCAACGATATGCCATGCCAGGAGTCCATGCTTCCAAATGAAGGATCTGTTCCAAGTGCAAGAGTGATTTAGTCCCAACCTGCTGCAATAGGTAGGCGCACGGAAGACTGTGAAGAGCTTGAGCGATTGGAAACACATGAATTCTAAGTACACGGGTGTGTCAGATGCAGCTTGATGTGCTGCCAGGTGATTGTGATTCATTGCAATTGCAAGGGGACATTCAAACAAGTGTTTTTTGCCAGATTCAATCCGATTGCGCATAACGCTTGAGTTGAAAGCTTACATGAGACATTAGTCATTCCCAAGCTTTATTCAGGGCAGCCAGTGGTAGATTGTTAGGAACATCTTTGATCAGAGAGTATATCTGTGAGAAGGTTGGTTTGTGCAGGAGGCTGATTGTTGTTGACTCCTGTCTGCAATCTGCACACAGTGAGTCCATTGACCTAGTAGCCGGCCAACTATAGTCATCTTCTGCAACATGATGCGTTTGTTATATCTTGCAGACCGGCCGCACAATGCAGACCAGCTTCTGGCACTGCGACAGCCCATGCGGCAAAACGAAGAAGTGAATATGCGCATGGCGCATCTGAAGAATGCAGCGCACGACAAGCAAGAGCAGGTGCTGCTCAAGGCACATGAATATCTCATGGCTCAGTTCTTAACCCCAAAAGTCATCAATGTGAGTATTGAAAGAGCCTCTTTTTTCTACATGTTCCTGCCATCTCCAGGAGACTCCAATAGTTTAGGGCTTCTTTTAGGGCCTGCTCATTTCTGCTCAAGGTACTGAAGGAGTTTTGCAGAGCTTCCTTAAAATATCTCTGGTCTATTTACCTTTTGGCCTGCTGCGCAGCTCCTCGGCCATATGCTTCTGAGGGGCAGCGCCAGTCCTATGAAAATTTCATTAGATCTCAACTTCATAAGTTGCGCCTCAAAATTGCCAGCCCGCATTTTCTGACGTCCGTCTCTAGTTGTTCGCTGCATGGAGAAAATTGGTCACGCATGTAGAGAGTTTTGGAAGCTGCCATACACACGGCGCTTGAAAGGGTTTTCATGAGCGTTGTGCACCTTGATCTGGTTATGTAAATCTCCGGCCCAGTCAGCTTCTTGTCTGGTCACCTTGACATCACTATGTAATTAGACCAAATTTCCATTCTTGGACTCAAAGAGCCTTTCGGCTTATTTATCTTCTGGTCTAGCCCATGCACGGGCCAACTTGATATGTTCGATGGTCGTTGGCGACATGAATCTGGTGAAAGCTCTTGGCTTCTGCAGGCAAAACGTGGCTGCGTGGCGATTGAACTTGCGTGACCGAAGGCTAGAAGGGTGACGGGTTCTACAAGGCGGCTGCTGTTGCGTTGAGCGGCGAGAACGCTTTGCTCGCCGAGCCGCTCCGCTTCCGGACCGACATGCTGGCGTTCATCACCCACGTGTGAGTTTCCAAGCTTCGTTGAAAAGGAAATAGCAGTTGGGGACACGGCAGACCGTGGAAAATTTTGGCCCTGATTTCAGACGCTTGATAGATGCTTTCCCGAAAACGGGTAGGATTCGCCGTTTGTTACGCTCAACGGCTGAACCGTTCTTTAACCCGATTGAGAGTCTGCTTCCAGACCAGATTGCAGCTGCTGAAGTGCACTGTTGGTCGACCTCGCTGTCATGGCCGTACTTTTGTCCTAAGAAAAACTTTCAATTGTCTCCGCCGCAGAATTGGAACGAAATTGAGAGAAGGTTTTTTCCAAGTCTCAACACAGGGTGCGGCAGAGCCTGATCCACACTGTTGCTCAACTTCCGTGCATTTTTGGCCTTTCATATGTCGGAACTCTCTTGCAGACTTTGGCGTGGTCTGGGCCACTTCAGGCCCTACAGGTCTGCCAGCAACGTTCGATACCATCTTTTGAATGTACGCCATGTGCTTCAGTGTTCTCTCTCAAGATGAATTTGGGTGTCTTTTGAAAGCTTTCCGCAAGGTCCTTTTCCGCACCCCGTCCAGGAACGTTGCTTCAAAATGACAATATGTTGACGTGCTCTCCTGTCTCTCGACCATGTTTTGTGTTCTGAAAAGAAATTCTGCCGAGCCTGCAAACTTGACCATACATTTCTGCAGGTCACCGCTTTCTTAGTGGAAATCAAGACGACGATGTACCTGTGCAACAGCAGATTGGCCGATACTGGCTCAGGTCTCCTCTCAGCGACTCTACGAGCTTGCTCTTACCTGCCGGCTTTATTGCTGACATCTGGTCGCATCCTTTCAGGGCGACCTCGCCTTCTTGGACAAGACGCTCAGCAGTACGGTACGAACGTCCATCAGGACCGCAACAAAGATCGAAGACCTGGCCCGGCACATCTGGCAGCTCCATCTGGACGGCCGCCTGCCGAACGACAAGTTCGAGGTCGTGCCCCGCCACAAGCCGCCCCCGGCCGGCGACGAGAACCTGATCCTCACCTTCCGCCTCGGAGGGCCGGACGAGGACGTGTGCCGCGAGATGGGGCGGAAGACGACGGGGTGCTTCCTGAGGACGCCTAAAAGTACGTGACTTTGAAGCTATGAAAAAGACCTTTCATTCTCCGCCTGTGGTTTTAATTTGAGAAGCTTACGAATTTGAAATTGAAGCGCTCTAGAAGTTGATGATGATATTGGACCGAGGGGAGGGGGTCGGGGAGCGAGTGCTGATAGACGTCGAGGTGAGGCATTCGAAGTTGTGTCTGAGACGGAATTTGGGTTTGCGTTTGCTCTGAGATGCTTCGTCTTCTGCAAACCACGCACTAAGGAATCTGGAGAGTAAGCTGGACAGTGAAACGTCGGCGACGTTGAGCGACTGCTAGGCGACGCCGAGGTGAGGGTTTGTATCTTGGGTTCTACGGGGTCCGCTTTCGGGTCAGCTTTTGACCAGGTGTTTGCTTTTATTACTGTCTAGTATGGTGGACTGGGCTGCAAACGTCGTGGAGCGATTGCTGGACGACTTCGAGGTGAGGGTTCTGAGTTTGGGTTCAAAGACGGGTTGAGTTTTGGGTCTGTTTGATATGCTCCCCCTTTCCCAAACGACGTGCTGGGAAAGCTTGAGAGTATGCTGGACTGGAAGGAGGGCAATGGTGGAGCGGTTGCTCGACAACGCCGAGGTGAGGGGTTTCAGATTGGTTTAGGCGCTCTTCCGGTCTGAAGTTTGGGTCTGTTCTAGAAATGACGCGCGGTGGAAGTGAGCCGCCTGCTTATACCCACGACTTTTTTCAGGCTGAGCGACTAGTACCTGAGAGCTTTCTGGAGTCGCCTCCGCAAAACGAAGACATGCGAAGGTGAACGGTGAACCGCAGAGGCGAGACTAGTCCCTGATTGGTTATCAGCAGTTGTTGTGGTGCTACGGGTTTCGATCGCATCGGGTTTCGTAACTTCGTAACGGTTTCGAGAACGCAGAATGCTAACCCTGCCGTTTGCTTCTTGTCGCTCCTGCAGTTCATCATCAGCGCCGGCGCACCGCAAGTTTCGATCACGGAGGAGTGTAGTCACCTCTTGAGAAGGCCTTCCGGTGCAAAGTGCTGCATACACGAGATCAATCCGCACTCAAGTCGGGTAAGAGTTGGAACCCAGAGGTAGGCTGACAGTCCAAGCAGATTAAGGTGTCCGTCAACAGCTCGTTGATTCCAAACTACAGCTTTTAAGTCACAGAGTATGTAGAGATACTGAGGCGCGCACAGAGGTGAACCGACTGATTGTCTTTGATTTCTTTCTACTGAACAAGTTGCGATTGTTGAACCCGTAGGAGTCAAGCAGACTGATCGTGCTTTGCAATATTCGGGTGGAATACCGACGAGGATTGAATGATGCATTGAATGCCACAATGGGTGCCGCAAGCATGCCGGCGAGTTTGCATATAAGCGCCGTCAGTACCGTATGCATAAGCTATGAACCGAGTGGGTTCCGCATGGAATCCGCATGGACACAGCATGGTAATTGCATTAATTCCGCACAGCATGGTTCCCATGCGGCATCCATGTGCATGGATCCCATATGGCCTCCATTCGGAAGTCTGCCCGTGGACGATGCGGGGCCAAAAGATAGCCTAAGTTGGTGGCTTCCATGCAAGTGGAATTCGCATGGTTCCCATACGGAATCCATGTGGGGTTTGGTTTGTGATTCGGATGTAGGTACCTAAACCCTTGTTCGTAAAATCAAGGCCGCAAAGACCGTTGCGGCGTCGCCGTCGGTCACGTCGGACCCCGTCACGACACCCGGTCCATGGTTGAGCCACAGTCTCCAGGGGATCCCCCCGGCGGGCGCAAAGTCCAAGCGCCGGCCTAAACCTCAATTAGGTAAGGTATACCCTTTTCCAATAATCAGTTTCTATAGAGCTGAAGTATTAATGATGAGCGCCGACCCTTGAATGTGCAAGCCTTGCAACAAATATACGGGGAACGTGCTAGATCATCTAAGTAGGGCTCAAACGAGTACCGGGCCTTGCTTGACAAACTCAACGTATGTGCAGAATTTGAGCGGCCATAGTCTTTTTCTCAAATCTTGCATGTACGTACGCAAGTCCAGAGCGCTTGCTACATACCGGTACGGTATGCCAACCCGATCCGACTTATAATAAGATGGACATGCCAATAGATGCATCGATACTAAATGACCGAATCAGCCATGGCGTCCGGGCATGCAATACTAGTAGCTTAGTAACCTGATTATGGCACCCAAGCATCATTTAGTCCTTGAAGTGTATCGTGCTGCCTCTACCTCAATCATTACCCCACACAGGACCGTAGCGAAAGAAGCAATGAGGAGCATGGCTAAAGAAGGCAGCATTAAGTTGCTCCTCAACATAGTCGCTGAACTTGCCAGATTGGATTTAGTGAAAAGATACAGTTCATCCACCAGTGCATACATCTCACAGCTCAAGCAGACCCGCAGACACTTCATCAAGACAGTCTAGCGTCATTCCAGCGAAACGTTCCTCCGATGTCCTCAATGGAGTCTCATGCGGTCAATCAAGTCTCGGCCCCTTGGCTATCGTCCCCTCACGACTCCATGGCATCTTGTTCTAGCCCCCCGACCATGCTCGCTCCAAGCGCCGGCCGGTTCTTTAGGCAGTCTACAAAGCTAAGGTCCTCCGCACGGAAGTACTCGTGTGCATTTGTAGCATCAATGACTATCTGGACCTCCTCAAACGCATGCGATTTCTCTAGCCGCCCCGATGTACGCAGCTCGGTCTCCACGTAGCAATTCAAGCTTGTCTCCCCCGGGTAAAGGACAATCATTCGCAAGATGCCCTTCACGTTCCGGTTCTGCAGCGCCTTCACCAGCGCCTCCCGCTTCTCTTCCTTGTCTGCACGCCCCCCCCACATGGTTCTTAGCCGGACAGTGTTCAACGCCTGCATTTTGTTGCGTAATTCATTACGCAGCCGGCTCTGCAGCATAACGAACCAGAGCTCCGGCCCAAAGTAGGCGAAGTTTGCAAGATCCGGGCCAGCCCAGATCTCCGGAAACAGGAAGGTCAGACCTCCGGGGTCACAGGCGAATTCGATCAGTCCGTAATCCTCATCTGCATGCCGTACTAGGTAGTTGTCTCCGATGCCGATGGAGCTCGTGCGCTTGCCGGGGAGACTGACGATGCGCGACTTGCGGCGGAAGCAGGAAGGGGGGTTGCTGATCTTTTTAATGAGGGGGTGGCTTGAGAAGTTCGCCTGATTGAGGAAAGCCCGCTGTGCGAGGGGAATGAACCATTCCCACGCAAGGCCCAAGACCGAGGGCTCAGAGGGCAGGCTCAACATGAGGCCGCGGGCCGCTTGCTCCACGTTCCAGAGGCCCTCCGACTCCAGAAACTCTCTTGCTACGATTGCTGGGAGCGGCTCCTGAAGGATCGCCCACAGATTCTGCATCGTCTGCCGGTTGCCCAGAGTCCTCAGGAAGCAGAAACCGAGCTCAATCAGGTCCACGTCCTGCAGCGCTAGCACGGTGCCGCTCCCAAGCAAATAACGGTCCGTCAAAAGTTCCCTCAGCTGCATCGTAAAGTGGTTATACTTCTTCGGGTCAGCATTTACCAGGTTCGCTTTCAACAGCCGCAATTTGCCCATGAGCGTCTTGGAGGTGGGCTCCCCAGCCAGATTCGTGTGCTCGCTCCGCAGCTCCTGAAATGCCCGCTCTAGCCGCATATTGGGCTCCTCCAGCATGTAGTTAACAAGCTGGACCGTGAATCTATAACGACCCGCGACCAGCTTTCCCCACAGCTCCTCGACCCCGCTGGGCATCCGCCCCAGGTACTCTTTAGCGAAAGCCTTGGCGGACTCTCCCGTGAAGGCGCCATAATCGTGAAAGATCACATGCCTGCCTTGCTTTGCAAGACCCGTCTCAAGCACGGTGGTAGAAGCAATCGCAAACCCGGTGCCTGCAAACGACGATGCAAACGATTGTTTGGCAGCGGACTGAAGCAACAAGGATATTCTGGCAGGGCGAGGGCGACCTTACCATGCCCGAGGGAAACCGTTGTTGAAGACGATAAGGTTGACTAACGAAGACAAGTCCCTTCATCTTATCTATGGTCATTCTTGGGTTAGAGCAAAATTGGTGATGCCAAACCGCATGCCTCGCGGAGCCGATAACAAGGAACACTCGATTGCCCAAAAGGCAGCTCTCTTCAAAAAGTAGCGCAGCAGAAAGCAGAAAGTTGTGGTCTGTGGGGAAGGTCAATTGTGGCTTTGCCGGTTTATCTGAAGCCAAGTTTTCGATAGTCCGAGACCGTCTGGTAACCCGGTTTCATGCGCCCTGATACACAACTGCGGTCACTGCCAGCCATGAAACCCAACTCGCAACGCTTGGAGCAGGTGCTCTGGTGGCCACAAACATAAAGGGAATCGGAAAGACAAGGGTGATCCTAGCCCAGAGAATCTATCATCGTCGGCACAAGTCACGCAAGACTTCCTTTACTTTTGACAGGAAATCCGGGGAAGCTTACATGGAGCTATTGATCATCATCATAGGTCACGGCATGACAGCAGTTTAGAGACTGAGACGCCCTGCCCTGTGTAATGCCAGAAGAAGCTGCCCTCACCGGTGAAGGGGAACATGTAGCCCTCGAACACGGAGTCTCCCAACTGTCGGATCAAGGCACTTAAGAGTGGGCGTCCGGTCCCCTCCGTGGTGCCCTCGAACCACCCCGGCGTTCTCAGCCCGACTTGAGCCTCATCAACGGCGGCTGGAAAGTAGACCTGGCCCGTCCGCTCTAGGAGCTCGTCGGTGATGACACGCAGCTTGCTTACAACCGACTCGTAGGAGAGAGGAAGCAGCAGTTCCCAGATCTGCAGTACCCAGTCCTGCAAGAAAAAGAATGCACTCACTAAGATTCTCTAGATGCAAAGTTGTCTAGTTGCAAAGTAAGCAACTCATGCGAGATTGCGTCCAAAGAAGACTCCGACTGCGGCTGCTGAGAGTCCCCAGAACATTCCAAGCCAGCCGCCTGCTTCAGCTGGTAAGAAGGTCACACCACTGGTCCAGTGGTCAGCGACATTCCCTCTAGTCGTTCAAGCGGTTTGATGAGCAATCTGAAGACTAATGCAAATGCACACCTCAACTGATTGCGCAGTTTGTCATGCACAATTTTTAAAGCTGCGACCCCAGGTCATGACACTCGCCTGATGGGATCGAACACAAGAGACTCACCGCTTGCTTGCCTGCCCCAATGAGCTGGAACAGGAGGTATTTTTTGGGCGTCGCTGCCTCTCCAAAGCGCTTGAGGAATGCGAGCAGGCCCAGAGCGTACGCCAGCAAGATGCGGACGAGGAACTTGATGGCGTCCTTCGAACGTTGTCCGCGGAAGCTGGCTAAGAGGTCGGGATTGGGATGTCGCGCAGCTTGGTCGAAGTCTGGCCCAAACTGCTCGTGAAAGCGCATCAAAGCCGCCTCAAAAACGCGTGACCCCGGTTCCCCCGCCGCGCTGAGGCTGCCATAGAAACCATACAGCTCACACAACAGCTCGTGGAGCGTGCGCGTCTTCCCCACCCCCGAGGGGCCCAGTCCGAGGACCGTGCGACCGAGCGGCCCAACCCCACTTTGGAGACCGTCGCACGTGGCTTTAAGCTCGTTTGCTTTGCTAATTCCCCGCTCGCCTCGTTCTGGAAGTTTATGGAGGAGGAGGCTTGGCTGCGTCCCGTACTTTGGGATCCCAAGGTTCTTTATGCGAGCCTGGGGGTGCTCCCAAATCTCTTGATGCAGCACCCCCTGCTCATCCAGTTCCGTGAACGCGTGCGCAGTAACCCCCTCCACCGCTTGCTCAATCTCGGCACTCCAAGCCTCATCGTCGCTGGACCCTGAAAGAGGTGTTCAAAGAGGTGTACAGAACCTTGCAAACTTTTTCTTGGTGCTCAGCGATGAGCAGCAGAGCTTCACACGGCCAATAAGGACGTCCATTTCTCAAATACCAGGACATTGCAAGCAACCTGCTCAATGAGTCCCCTCTACTTGAATAACACAGAGATGACACAGCCACATGTACACAGAGGCAAAGGTGCACTGAAGATCTGGGTAAGTAGCATAAACGCAGTGCAAAGAAGACAGTCCATAGGTATCACAGAAACACCGTCCCAATGATCCACTTTGAACCTATACAACCAATACATTAGGACCAGAGCGACTGGGAATGAATTGCTGGCGCACTTTGTGCTTCCCAGCACAACTGCAGCGCGGCGCTGGAAATAACTTGAAGATTAAGTGCACAAACCACAACTACTTAGATGGGCACTTTGGAATTACTTAGGGCCACTCAACAATGCTGACTCAACAATGATGGCAGACGGGGACGAATTCAGAAAGCATACTCACTACGATTTCTAGACAGTTGCCCACTGCCACTGGCACCGGATCCTCCGGTTGTTGAAATAGCAGGACCTGAAGAGAGAAGCAGAGGTTGTCAGGAACGTTACATGCTAGCAGAGTACACCGTTCGCACAGTTCTAGAGTTGGCCCCATACAGGGTCTGCCCGAGGAACACAGCGGAGTTTGCAAAAAGCTTACCAAATGTAGGGCGGTGCAATTTAAAGATGACGTTGAACAGTGAACAGGAAGAAAAACATACTCCGCAGCATGCTGATTCGCCTACTGTTCCCAGGTGGTCTTTTCCACAGCTTTTAGAAGAGTCTGGGGCAGCGAGCATCTGGGATAAAGCGATTTCAACCATAGATATAAGCTCCATTTCTCTTCAAAGCCTCTTAAGCATCAATGTCTCATCAGTCTGCATATGCCGTCTGTGCATACCGTCTTCCAGATAAGAGTCAATTCGCAAATGAATCTTTGTCGTTTTGAAATGATGATGATGAAAGACTGACAACGGAGGAGAAAGCTTGTCTGTACATTTTGTACGCATTTTGTGCGCAAGAGGAATGCCACAATGTGAAGAGCATTACCTGTCAGCTTCAATTCGCACTTGCGAATCCATGTCTCATACTGGGGATGGTTCACTTGGAGCTTGAGCGCATCCTCGAAGGTTGCCTTGGCAGTCTGGCAGTCCTCAAGCGAGAAATACGCCATTCTGCGCAACCAATCAGAAGCATCGCATCATTGTTGGAAGACGTGGTATCGCTTCAGCTCTCATTGCAAGTCTAGCAGGCTGTGACTTGTATTGCTGCCGTTCAACAAGGGTAACATTGCCCATTAACTTCTGGATTTGAAAGGACTCAGAATACTTCAGGAAAACCGCTCAAAATTTCCCCATCTTCAAGCAGTACGAACGTTCAAAACGTGGGGAATGCGTCTGATGCCTGGACCGGGCTTTGTAATTAAAGGACCTGTCTGTTCTTAATTTGCAAGACGACCGCAATGAAGTTGACAAACCAATCCAGAGAACTCCCCTGAGGACATTCAAAAGCCTCAGAACACCAAGGATATATTTACTCCAGCCCAGAGCCAGAATAGGTAGTCAAGTACGATGCCAGTCGCGATATCTCACCCTTTTCTTAGGTACGCCAAACTCATGCTGGGGTCAATTTCGATGGCCTTGTTTGCATCCATGATAGCAGCTGCAAAGTACAAAAATTGCTGGTGATCTTGGCCTCTTCTTAGCACGTTACTGGAGCACCACAAGGGGAGCAGGACCATGCCTGTGCACCAACATAAAAGAAGGGCCAAAAGTAAGCGAACAGGAAGTACAACTCATCTTGTCATGCTTCAAAAGTGTCCATCTGTGTCACAGATTGAAGGCGCGTGTGATTGACGATGCAACAGTGTGTCAGACAAGATACATGCCGCTTCTGAAACTCCTCCTCGGACCTCGTGGTTTGTTCAGAAGCTTCAGGCTGGTAGAGCTAGATTACAGCTATCTGTGCGCAATGCTTACCAGTTAAGTCTCCCAGCATCAGATGCGCTCCCGCCCGGCTGGTATGAAGGCTTGCATTGCTGGGTTCCATTTCCAACCCCTGGGTGTAGCACTTCAAAGCTGCATCATAGTCCGCAGCAAGATACAGGGCATTGCCCTTGCCCTCCAGGACAGCTGCCATGATGTAGGGATCTTCCGTTTGAAACTTGTAGAAGCTTAGTTGCAGCAATCTCCTTCCACTGCTGCCAGTGCTAGACCCAGGATGAGCACACTCAGCGTGGGGTTTCAAGCTTCACCACCAAATTAATGCTTCACCAACCTACTCTGCATGTCAGACATGATGTCTCTCAATCGTCGCCCCTGTCAAGCTCAGCCTCCGGCCCAGGGGACTTGTCTTCCTCCTTTTGAAGTACCTACCTGTCAATCCTGAGGTAGAGCTGTGAAGCCTTTAACACTTTCTTAGACCTCCATTACATTGGACCCCCGTACGGCGAGCGGCCGCAGGCCGGGGTCGAATGCAGCTCTGTGGTGCGTCGTTAGTCCGACTTCGGATTTGAAGTCGGACTAACGACGCACCTGGTGCTTGCAATTCCGACTATCGAGCAACC